ATCAATGGAAGCAGCAGTCAAGACATCAGATGACATATTGCATTGGGCAAATCTGCTGCAAAAGACTCCTTTCAAGTGCTGAAGAGCAAAGATGTCTCTGTGAAGATGAATGTGTACCTAACCGAACCCATAGTATTTTCAATTACCTCTTATGCATGTGAAAGCTGGACAATGAATAAGGAAGACCAAAGAAGAGTTGATGCTTTTGAGTTGTGGTGTTGGAGAAGAATGCAAAGAGTGCCATGATCTGCTAAAAGGACTAACAAACCTGTCCTGGAAGAAGTGCATCCAGAATACTCCTTGGAAGAGAAAATGGACAGATTTTGTCTCACCTACTTTGGTCATGTTGTCAGAAGGAACCATTCCCTGAAGAAGTCAATGAGGAGGGGAAGGCCCTCAATGAGATAGATCGACACAGTGTTTGCAGTGATGGGCCCAGGTATAGCAAGGATCATGAGGCTGGCACAAGATCGGACATTGTTTCATTCTGCTATGCTTAGGGTCACTATGAGTCAGTTGGAGATGACTCAGAGACACCTAACAACAACAGCAACAACAGTTACTTCTTCCCTGTGTCCTTCCCTCCCATGCATTCCTGCCCACAAGCTGTCTTCCTGTACATACGTTGTTGTTGTTGTTAGGTGCCATTGAGTCGTTTCCAACCCATAGCGACCCCATGCACAGCAGAACGAAACACTGCCCTATCCTGTGCCACCTCCATGATCCCTTCTATACTTGAGCCCATCATTGCAGCCAACGTGTCAATCCATCTCTTTGAAGACCTCCCCCTCTTTCATCGACCCTCCACCTTACCAAGCATGACATCCTTCTCCAGGGAATGGTCCCTTCTGACAACATGACCAAAATAGGTACATACACAGCCCTTCTATTCTCCCGTAGTTGATCTCTCCAAGGAGTGTATCTACCTAATATAAATGTTCAGCTCATATGCCTGGCTTTTGTTTGGCAGGAAGCCACAGGAGTGGATTCAATTCCAGACCTGAAGGGCAACTAGGGGCCATAGTCTCAGTGGTTCCATAAGGCTCTATCAGACCAGCAAACTTAGTCCTTTTTTAAAAAATGATTTTGAGTTTGTTCTCCCACTCTGTCCAGGATCTCCCCCTCTGAGTGTTTGACAGCGCTAGCCAGGAACCATCTAGTTCTTCTGCTCGCACAGTCATATAGGTGGAGGATCACATGGTGTACCCATTGCTTGGATGAATTGTTTCCATGTGTCTTTGGGTTTCTGCATTTTTCTTTGCTCTGGATGAAGAGACTGCCATCGTTGCATCTAGATGGCTGCTTGTAAACTTTTAAGATCCCAGTCGCTACTCGCCAAAGTAGGATGTGGAAAATGTTTTTGTGTAGTATGTTATGCCCATTGAACATGATGTCGCTTGTGACTATGGTTCCAAGCCCACAGGTTCAACTACGAGCTCCCTCTGGGTAGCTGGGTGTGGCCAAGAAGTGACTATAACCTTGCCCCTTGTCAGCTCTACTATATACCTGGAAATTCTTACAGAATGTACAAATACACTTGTAGAAACATTGTCTGCCAACCCTATGCATGGTCATGGGCACACTTCCCCCTGCATAGATATACCTAATAATTCAGCCTGTCCACCCATCTATCCACCCATAGATCAATGTTTGCCTTCACTGACGATGCAGTACTGTATGTGCAAAAGGGTTCCTCTTTGTTGTCTGTACCTTCCATGCACTCTCTATGTCTTCCTCTTCCTCAATGCCACCATGTTGATTACTCACATTTGGTATACTGGCCTTCTCTTCACCCAAATCAATACTTGTCTCTACCTGTCTGACAATGTTCCCTCCCCTCCATTTCCATCCCTGGTAACCAACAAAGAAAATTTCCTTCCATATAGAAACCTTTCCTTGACTTTTTACAATAATGAACTAATATAATATTTGTCCTTTTGTGATTGACTTATTTCACTCAGCATAATATCCTCCAAGTTCATCCATTTTGTGGGGTGTTTTGCCAAGTCTACATTATTCTTTAGGGTTGCATAGTATTCCATTGTGTGTATGTACCATAGTTTGGTTATCCTTCTGTTGACGGGCATGTGGGTTGTTTCCATCTTTTGGGTATTGTAAATAGTGCTGTGATGAGCATGGATGTGCATATATCTGTTTATGTCCTGGCTCTCACTTCTTTAGGATATATACCTAGTCATGGAATGGCTGAGTCAAATGATATTTCTATTTCCAACTTTTTAAAGAATGGAAAAGCTGTAAATTTTTTATGGAAGCAGACTGCCACATCTTCTCCAACTGAGTAGCTGGTGGGTTTGGACTACCAGCCTTTTGGTTGACATCCAAGTACTTTAACCACTGTACCACCAGGGCTCCTTTCTTGCCCTAAAGTAAAGCTGAATGAAAACCATGTGCATCTCTTCTGACTAACAACAAATTAGACATAAAGACCTTTTGAGAAACAGATCTCATTCATAACCTGGGCACTGCCTGTATTTTGTGTTATGAAAGCACCAGGCAGGTTGCCTGGGCCCCTCTTCAGACCAATTAAATCAGTGTCTCTGAGCAGAAGGAGTTAACATCAACTTTACTGCTCCTCAGGTGGTTCTGATGTGTTCCCCAGACTGGAAGTTACTGCTAGCAACATGTTGTTGTTGTTGTTGTTAAGTGCCGTCGAGTCTTTTCTGACTCATAGCGACCCCATGCACAGCAGAACGAAACACTGCCCGATCCCGCACCAGCCCCACAATTCCTGCTATACTTGAGTCCATCATCGCAGCCACCGTATCAATCCATCTCCTTGAAGGCCTCCCCCTCTTTCGTCGACCCTCCACCCTACCAAGCATGACATCCTTCTCCAGGGAATGGTCCCTTCTTACAACATGACCAAAATAGGTGAGACGAAGTCTGGACATTCTTGCTTCCAAGGAGCATTCTGGCTGCACTTCCTCCAGGACAGATCTGTTAGTTCTTTTAGCAGTCCACGGTACTTTCAGCATTCTTCACCAGCACCACAACTCAAAAGCATCGACTCTTCTTTGGTCTTCCTTATTCATTGTCCAGCTCTCACATGCATACCAGGCGATTGGAAATATCATGGCTTGTGTCAGGCGCACCTTAGTCCTCAAGGAGATATCCTTGCTCCTCAGCACTTGAAACAGTTCCTTCGCAGTTGACTTTCCCAATGCTACACGTCGTCTAATGTCCTGACTGCTGCTTCTGTTGGCATCGATTGTAGAACCAAGCAACGTGAATTCCTTGACAACCTCAATCTTCTCTCCATTTATTGTGATGCTGCTCATTGGTCCAGTTGTGAGGATTTTTGTTTTCTTTATGTTTTGATGTAATCCATACTGCAGACTGTATTCTTCAACCTTCATCAGTAGGTGCCTTAAGTCATCCTCACTTTCAGCAAGCAAAGTTCTATCATCTGCATATATCAGGTTGTTAATGATTCTTCCTCCAATCCTGATACCACGTTTTTCTTCATATAGTCCAGCTTCTCGGATTATTTGCTCAGCATATAGATTGAATAAGTGTGGAGAAAGGATACAACCCTGACGCACTCCCTTCTTGATTTTAAACCATGTAGTGTCCCCTTGTTCTGTTCGAACGACAGCCTCCTGGTCAAGGTACAAATTCCTCATGAGTACAATCAAGTGCTCAGGAATTCCCATTCTTCTCAATGTTATCCATAATTTGTCATGATCCACACAATCAAATGCCTTTGCATAGTCAATAAAACACAAGTAAACATCTTTCTGGTATTCCCTGCCTTGAGCCAAGATCCATCTGACAATAGCTATGATATCCCTTGTTCCACGTCCTCTTCTGAATCTGGCTTGAACCTCTGGAAGTTCTCTGTCAATATACTGCTGCAAACATTTCTGAATAATCTTCAGTAAGATCTTACTTGCATGTGATATTAATGATATTGTTCTATAATTTCTACATTCTGTGGGATCACCTTTCTTTGGAATGGGCACAAATATGGATCTCTTCCAGTCAGTTGGCCAGGTAGCTGTCCTAGCCACATGGAACCATTTAAATTTAATAAGATTACCTGAAGAAAAAATTTAAATTAATTAAGATTAATGCTTTTTGAAAAATTCAGTTTCTTAGTCACACAGGCCACATTTCCAGTGCTCAGTGGCCATATGTGGCTAGTGGCTGCCATATTGGACAGTGCAGATATGGGACACTTCCATAATTGCAAAAACTTCTATTGGGCAGCACTGTCCTAAGGGGTTGTCAAGTCTTGCTGATGTTGGAAGGTGGGTTAGGCAGGTCATCCTCGTATACCATGGAAGTGTATTTCTTAGTGAGGTTCTGCGTAAATTGATGTTCATGGTATGAGGAGGGGTTAGGCCATTAAGGCCTGTGTTTATCTGCTCAGTTATCTAGACCCTATAGAGTCTAGAATCTTCTGGAAGTGTGTCTAGAAATTTTATAGATTGACTTGTGTCCCCCAAAATATGTGAAGGAATCCTATTCACTATACCTGTGGATATAATCTTATGTGGAAAGAGTGTTTACTTTGTTATGTTAATGAGGTCATTAGGATGTTTTCTAAACCTGATCACTTCTGAGTTATCAAAAAAGCAGATCAGACTCAGAAGCAGACACAGGGGGAAGACAGATGTCATGTGAAGATTGCCAAGAAACCAAGAAATGCCTGAGATTATGGACAAGGAAGGAATTGACATGGCCCAGACCCTGGTTTGGACTTTTAGCCTCCAGAGCTGAGAAAATAAATTTTTGTTCTTTAAAGCTATACACTTGTGTTGTTTCTGTTATAACAACATGAGGGAACTAAGACAGGTATTGATGGGTGGAAGACACCCAGAGACCTCGTAGCTTTTGAGCTGGTCTTCAGGACATCTATCTGAGATTGTGAACATCTCCCACCAGAAAGAGTCAAGATTAGGGGTGTGGTTTTTGTGCTGAGAGAACAGAAAACCCAATGCTTGCAAGAAAGCCTTTATTCCTCAGGTAACACACCTGCCCCCTGTAGTTAATTGTCCTCTGGGACATTGAGCTTGTCCTTCACCCCACAAGACACCACAGCAAAGAACAACTCAGGGAAGAAGGTGCGTATATACATGGCAGCCTTGGGGATGGGATTGACCATGAAGACTTCTTGCTTTTTCCTCCTTACAGTGCGCATCACCTCTTCAGCCACCTCTACAGGGTGTACCCCATAGGTCAGTTTCCTGAAAAAAACTGAAAGCCCCACAGGAGAGGGCAAGGGTCTATTACAGTCTCAGCAGGGAACAAACTGGCCAGAACCCTCTTTGTGACCAAAAGAAGGGGTGTGTGTGCAATGCCTGGAGTCATGGTGCCTGGTGCTAGGACAACAGCCATTCACTGACTGTGAGACACTGGAGAGGCACTCTGTGTCTCTGAGCTTCAGCTTCTTCATCTATAAAACTGGCACAGTTTCCTATCCTATTAACTTTGTGGAGTGGTTATGAGCAGTAGAAGGTACATGGAAACTAATAAATAAATAAATAAAAATAAAAAACAAGGTGGCAGATGAACAAAGGTGCTGTTGTTCATGATGTCATGCTTGTCAAGAGCCTCTTGGAACCTCTTGATATGTTCACCTTCTTGGTTCATCAATCTAGACCTAGAGTCTTGGTCAAGGCACAGTGTCTTACATTTAGAGTATTTATAATAATAATAATGATAAGATACATATATAGAGCACTTACTTTATGCTGGTTGCTGTTCAAAACCTTACAGCAGTACCCCTCAGTCCTCCCAATAATCTACCAGTACTGGTTGAGTTGACTCTGACTCATGGTGACCCCATAAATGTCAGAGTAAAACTGTACTACATAAGGTTTTCAATGGCTGTTTTTTGTTTGTTTGTTTGTTTTTAAGTATATCACCAGGACTTAATTCTTAGATGTCTCTGGATGGACCCAAACCATCAATATTTTGATTATCAGTGAGTGTATTAACTGTGTACACCACTGAGGTACTCCCAAAAAAACTCCATGAGGCAAGTGTAACCATTAACTCTGGTTTTCTAAAGGGGTATTTGAGGCACAGAGAAATTCAGGGACTAGTCCACAGTCAAACATCTGACATGTCACAGAGACAAACTTTGAGGACAGTCAGTCTAGTTCTAGACTTTTAACTTCTGTTCTGGGCTGCTTCCTAGGAAAAGAGAACAGGAGTGTTCTTAAAGACCACCTCCTGGTTATTAACAAATGAAACTGTGGCTCAGAGACAGGTAGTGACTTGCCCAAGGTCACAGAGTCAGTGGGTGACTGAGGTCAACCAGGTCTTGGTCCACTGACTTAGATATTAGGGTTCTCTGTATTTTGTGCCTCAGGACTAAAGGTTTGGGCCCCCTCTCTGCTGTTATTTGGTTGCCAAGTCCCATCACCTCCAGTCTCATGCTCCAAGACTACTCCTTGTGCTCAATGAAATAAGACTATGCCAGAAGTGTCTCCCTCTCGATCCCCCACATCCCAGCCTCTGCATCCCATTCCTCCAGCTTCCCTCTGGAATCTCACATTTCCAAATGGAAGATTCCCAGTTTCCCTGCCCTGGATATGACCGGATGAAAGTCGGGCTCACGGTGCTAACAACAACGTCAAATTCCTCCACTTCCGCCCGGAGACAGTCAAAGAATCCTAGCACAGCGTGTTTGGAGGCAGCATCTAGAAGAGAAACCAGCCAGAAGTAGTGCTGGAGGGACCCCAGGCATACTTCCCACAGAGCACTTGGAGACAAAGGGGCCAATGTGCGACATTCCAAGAACATCAACATTGGAAGGGGCCTGTGATGTTGCTTCACCCTGCCCCTCCCTTAACAGATGAAGAAACAGAGACTTCCAGGTATGGAAAGAGGTAGAGCTGGGACTGAATCCAGATTAGCCACCTGCCATCTGTGGGACCTTGGGAAATCCGTTTACTTCACCGAGGCTCTTTTCTTACCTTTAAAATAGAGATAATATCTCCCTTGCCACAATGTGAAGATCAAATGAGAAAATGTATAAATAAATGGTTGGCACAAACCTTAGTTACCTTCCCTTGCTGGGAAAGTGGACATCTGAGTCCAAGGTTCCAGGGCCAGGTGGTGCCCATGGTGGACATGGAACAAGAATTGATGACAAACAGGTACAAAAGATCCTTTTGAGGTGATGGTAATATTCCAAACTTCAATTGTGGTGACTATTGTACAATTTTTGCTTCCTGCCCTCCTTTCCCTCAGAAAACCTGTCCATGTCAGCTACTCACTAAATTCAATTCAAATTGCAGGGGCCATGGACAGTTAAACAACAACAGTCTCAGGAATTGCAGAGCGATTGGACATTCCTTAAAGTTTAGGAAAGTTGGAGCTCCCTCTGGAATATAGTGAACTCCAACTTCACAGTTTGGAGGTATTAACGTGCCTAAGACACTTGACTGCTAACCAGAAGCCTGGCAGTTCAGACCTACCAGCCATTCCTCCAAAGGAAGTTTGGGCAATATACTACCGTAGTGATACTGCCTTGGAAACCCAAGGAGGGGTCGCTATGAGTTGGGTCCAACTCAGCGGCACATAACAACAACAACAACAACAACTGCAGGCTGAGTAAGGCAGTAGATGGATGTATCATGGTCCTTACTTTCATAAAGGGAATCCCTGGGTGGAACAAATGATTAACATAGCAGGCTGCTAACAAAAAAATGAGAGGCCTTAAATGAAATGCCTGGTGATCTACTTCTGAAAAATCAGCCATTGAAAACCCTGTGGAGGACAGTTCTACTCTGGCATACGGGGGATCACCATGAGTGGGAATCAACTCTAGAGCAACTGGCTGTTTCCAGAATTGGTTTAGTTTTCAGCAGATTTGCAAATTACAAATGTCTATGGTGCACAGTGTCAGAAGGAAAGGAAAGAAACATGTCCAGTGGGAACTTGGTGACCAGAAAGCATGGGTCCTGTCTAAAGGCAGCATCACGCTTGGCTCCAAGTGATTGTTGCCAAGCAATACACTTGGGGCTGGACCATAATCTTTATGGAAGCAGACTGCCACATTTTTCTTCTGTGTGGTGGTTATTGGGTTCAAACTCCCAGCGTTTCATTTAGCAGGAAAGTGCTTAACCACTGTGCTACCAGGGCTCCTTCTGCAAAGGTTATAGCCTTGGAAACTGTATGTTGTTTATTGTTGTTGTTTTGTGCCATTGAGTCAGTCCCGACTCATAGAGATCCCTCCTTGGGTCTCCGAGGGAGTATCATTACGGAAGTAGATTGCCCCATCTTCCTTCTGAGGAGAAGCTAGTGGGTTTGAACCACCAGCCTTCTGGATAGCAGTAAAGTGCCTTAGGCACTACACTACCGAAGCTCCCTATGTTGTTATTGTTATGTGCCATCGAGTAGGACCCAACTCATAGCGACCCCTCCTTGGGTCTCTGAGGCAGTATCACTACGGAAGTAGATTGCCCCATCTTCCTTGCAAGGAGTGGCTGCAGGGTTTGAACTGCCAGCCTTCTGGTTAGCAGTCAAGTGCCTTAGGCACTATGCTACCAGAGCTCCGTGTAGTATCACTATTAAGGCAGAATTAACTTGATGGCAATGTTGTTGTTGTTGTTGTTATGTGCCGTTGAGTCGGACCCGACTCATAGCGACACCTTCTTGGGTTGCCGAGGCAGTATCACTACGGAAGTAGATTGCCCCATCTTCCTTCCGAGGAGTGGCAATGGGTATTTATAATTAAAAAGAAAATACCATCATGCCAGCCAACCAAAACCCAGATGGTACCAAACTTAGGATGGCCCTCCCAGGTTTCTACAATAACTAAGTACATCAACTCACTTGATCTTTTCTGCACCTGTGTGACTCACTGACTCATTAACTTAATATACTGAATCAAGAGAAGGAGAGGAGACATTATCTCTTCTGGTGGTGTAATGGTTAATGTATTTAGCTGCTAACCAATGGATCAGAAGTTCAAACCTACCAGCTGCTCCATGGGAAAAAGATGAAACAGTCTGCTTCTGTAAATATTTTCACCCTTAGAAACCCTGTGGGGCAGTTCTACTCTGTCCTACAGGTTCGCTATGAGTCCAAATCAACTCAATGGCAGTGGTTTTGGTTGGTTTTATAAATAATAACAAAAAAGAAGCTCAAGAGGTTATTTGAATGGCACCAGGTTGCACAGCCAGATGTGACAGAATCTGGACTAGAATCCAGCCCTCTTCTCTTCTACCCTTCATCAACACCCTCCTTGTGGATCATAGTGAATCTAGTTTTGTTGGCATGGATAGGGTCAGCACAGCCATCAAGGATCAAATAAAAAACATAATGAGATAAATATTGTATATCCATTAGCATGGCTGGAATCCAAAATGTGGACAATAACAAATGTTGGCAAGTATGTGGAGAAGCAGGAACACTTGTAGACTGCTGGTGGGAAAGCAAAAGGGTGCAGCCACTCTGGGAAACAGTCTGCCAGTTCCTCAAACTGTTAAACATAGAATTATCATATGATCCAGCAATTTCACTTGTAGGTATATACCCGAGAGAAATGAACACATTATGCCCACACAAAAACTTGTACACATGTTCATAGCAGCATTATTCATAATAATAAAAAAATGGAAACAACTAAAATGCCCATCAGTTGATGAGTAGGTAAATAAAATGTGATATCCACACAACAGAATATTAATTGTAGAGCCTGAAAGATCTTTTAACCAGAAGCCTTTAGTATGGAGATTGACACGTCCCATGCTAGCCCTAACGCCTCCAGGTAGATTGACACATCCCATGCTGAGCCCTAATACTTGTAGTAAATGTCCCATACCTCAGAGCCTTTTATCAGAAATCTGCATGGCTCCAAAAAGCCTCTCATCCACCTTTGAAGACTATGAGGGCTCTCACCCCCCCGGGGTTTCGCAGAGAGTATGCACATATCAAAGAGATCCGCTGGCTCCAAAAAATCTCTCACTCACCTTTGAAACCGGGGGGATTCCAACCTGCCCCAAATTCCCAAACCCCTATCATAAAAACCAAATTATGTACTCCACCCTATGTTCCTCTATAAAAATCTCTTAATGTAAGAGCACGGGGTCTTTTGCTCAACCCATTGCGGGGGTGAAAGCAAGGACCCTAACTTAAGTTAGCTAATAAACTTTCCTATTGCTTTTTGCATTGTCGTATGTTGGCAAATTACTTGCCCCGAACTACTCCTTCATAACCTGGGCACAACATAATCAGCCACAAAAAGGAATGAATGCTGATACATGGTACAATGTGGATCAATCTTGAAAATAGTATGCTGACTAAAACAAAATCAGACACAAAAGGCCACAGATTATATGACCCACTGCAATTGTGTCAATTTGGGCTGTTAGTGACCTTACAGGACAGAGTAGAATGGCCCTATAGTGTTTTCAAGGCTGTAAATCTTTATGGAAACAGATTGCTTCATCTTTCTACCACGGAGCAGCTGGTGGGCTCAAACCACCGACCTTTTAGTTAGCAGCCCAAAGCTAACCCACAATGCAACCAGAGCTCCTCACATTTTATATGACACGTCCAGAATAGGCAAATCTATAGAGATAGAGAATAGATTAGTGGATGCCGGTAGCATAGGCACTTGACTGCTAACCAGAAGGCTGGCGGTTCAAACCCACCAGCCACTCCTCGGAAGGAAGATGGGGCAATCTACTTCCATAGTGATACTGCCTCGGAAACCCAAGGAAGGGTAGCTATGAGTTGGGTCTGACTCGAAACCACAACAACAACAACAAGGGCTGGGGTGTGAGGAGATGTGGGAATGACAGCTAGGAGTGTGTGTTTCTTTATGGGTTAGTGAAAATATTCTAAAGTTAATTGTAATGGATGCACAACTCTGTGAATATACTAAAGGCTGTGGAATTAAATGCTTTAAACAAGTGAATTGTATGGTATGTGAATTATATCTCAATAAAGCTGTTGCCAAAAAAATTGTTGTGAGCTTTTCATTCACCCACCATCAATTCCTTCATTTATCCAACCCACATGTGTCAGACATCCGTCTGGGCAAACACCTGGGTACAGAGAGGTGCCTCTGCCCTTGTGAAGCCAGGTGAAGCAGTTACCATGGCAGGCAATTTACAAATGGTGGTGCTAGTGCAGCAAGAAGGGTGTGTACTATCATTGGAAGGAAATATAGCATGATGTGCCCAACTCCAAGCCCTTTGATTGTAAGTATCCAAACCCCAAGCCTTCCCACTGAGTTGATACTAAGGGAAAGATTCTCCCACTGCCATCAGATGACACAAGTCACTCCCATACCTTCCCATCAGAGCCCCAGTATCTGTCAAAATCCAGACTTGAAAGAAGAGGACTTGGGGTTGGTCCAGGTGGCATCCCTTAAGTTCTGACATTTCTATGGGGAACTCTGTACCAGTTAATTCCTTTAATTGCAAAGCAGCTAGATCATGGCTGGTGGAAGCTGGGAGAACCTGGTTAGAATTCTTAGTCCTTACTGCTGTTATGATTCAGAAATGCTTCAAGGAAACCATATGCCCCATATAGGTTGATGACCAAAGGATCCATCGAAATGCTCATACATACCTCTGTGTATGTTCCCACCTCTGACTGTGTCCCCAAGACCTGGCTTGCAGCATCCAATTGCTATTTGTTGAACAAATGAAGGCACACAGCAAGGAAAGTTATCCAGTTCATGAAAGTAGCATGCATATGGAGTTTTAAAGTAGAATGAATATCAGGACTTCATTTCTCTTTATGATTAATATTCCATTGTGTGGATATTGTAAACCATGTTTTGTTTATCCATCCATCTGTTGATGGATATTTAGGTTGTTTCCAACTTTTGGCTATTGTGAACATTAATGGCAGTGCATTGTCTATGTAAAAAGGGTTGAAGTGGCCAAAATTGAAAAAAAGAAAGAAAAAAAAAAAGCAGGAGAGCTCATAAATGGGCTGAGGAAGGGAGGAAAATGAGGAAAGTGGCAAAGATTGCCTGGTGTGGACCAAACTCATCCCTCCTCCTGGGCCCACCATCTCATATAGGGTCACTTTAAATCAGAATTGATTCAATAGCAGTGAGCTTGTTTTTCCTTTGAGGGGGGAGCACAGTAGCCAGCACCTCCCAGTGTCTCTTACAGTTAGGTGTGATCATGTGATTGAATTCCTGACAATAGGATGTGAGCAGAGCTGATATGTGCTACTTCCTTTTCTAGAACTTTAGGCAATTGACATTCCTATTCAACACTCTCTTCCCTCTTTTTGCCAGCCATAATGTAAATAGAGCAGAGTCTCAGCATTGACCATGTGGAAGATGATGTCAAAGCAAATACATGGTATGATCTTGGGTCCTTGAATGACAGACCATGAAGTGTGGTGGTGCCTGCTGACTAGACCATCACATTTACACTATTACATGGAAGAGAAATACCCTTCTTCATTCTTATGTCACAATCTTATAGCACTGTGACTTAGGCTTTACCTAAATAATGCCAAAGGAAGAGGAGAATCAAACATAATTAGGGGTACCTTCCCATTTTTCTTTCCTTCCTCTTTCCCTCCTACCATCTGATCCATCAAACAATTACTGAACTCCTGTTTTGCACATGGTGGTGGTGTTAGTTGCCATCGAGTTGGCTCCAACTCATAGTGACCTCATACACAACAGAACAACACAATACCCAATCCTGTTCCATCCTCATGATTGTTGGCACCCTCCAGTTCATTGTTGTAGTCACTGTATATTTTGAGTGCCTTCCAAGCAAGGAGGCTCATCTTCCAGCACTGTATCAAACAGTATTTGTTATTATTCATATGTTTTCCACTGACTAAATGTTCCTAGTCTATCTTAGTCTGGAAGCTCTACTAACACCTGTCTACCATGGGTGACCCTTATATCATTTGACATACTGGTGGCATAGCTTCCAGCATCACTGCAACATGCAAGCCACCATGGTGTGACAGACTGACAGGTGGTATTGCAGGCACTGAAGAAGTGCATAAGGCATGCACCCCACCTTCCTTGTACATACTTCATGGGGGATGAGAATGTCTCCAAAAGTTTTCAAATGGATTCAATGAACATATACCCAGGAGTCTCTCTCCTCCTTGGGCTCCTTAAAGGACCTTCACCCTTGGAAATGTCACTTTGCTGGAATTCTGACCATTTCATTTTTTTTTCTTCTTCCTTTTCTGAACCTCACCATCACTCTCTCTTTTGTGATGTGCACTCATCTTATCTTTCCCAATTGTAATGTTTCCTGTCCTTGGAGGTGTCTTTGTGAAGGAAGGAGCATTTGAGCTGGCTCCTAAGCACCCACTTCAGGTGTGTAACCTTCACCTGAATTGAGCATGTTCAACCAGCACATGTGAGACTGTCAGCTTCGAGAGGGACTTTACCTTCTATCCCTCAGTGTCTCCCAGAGTGCCCTGCATTTTATGTTGCTGCATTCTATGTTGTTGTTGTTGTTGTTTGCCGTTGAGTCAGCCCCGACTCTTAGAGACCCCTCCTTGGGTTTGTGAGGCAGTATCACTACAGAAGTAGGATTGCCCAACCTTCCTTCCGAGGAGTGGCTGGTGGGTTTGAACCGCCAGCCTTCTGGTGAGCAGTCAAGTGCCTTAGGCACTATGCTACCAGAGCTCCTAGGTACCCAAAAAAGGGGAACTAAAGAATGAAAGAAAAAAACAGCAGACTCCCTCTGCTCTGGAGCCCTTCCCTCCTTTGTAACCAGATACCTAGTCCTGGACAACACAGCTCTGAAGAAGATGTGGTGAAGAAAATGCTTTGCCTTAGCAACTTACAAGCTGTACGGAACGGGATTCCAAACTTCCCATGGATGTTATTCACTAACACAATTTGGCCAGTTCTCCGGGAGATCATGTTGGGAAGCAGGGCTAGAAAACACAGGACAACAAGTCACTGTTAAACATCTGAGACTAACTTGAGCAGTAGCAGGCAGTCCCCTCTCCCCTACTCCCACCCACATCAACATCACAAATGGTTCTTCTACCTCCTTGGTAATTAGGGTACAGGATTGTAGTATCATTTACTCCAGTGTTTCTAAAGAGTGGGCCAGGGGGTGCTAGAGAATTGCTGGGTATTTTTAAATCCACCAGTGAGGCAATAATTACCACAATTTCTGTAGTGAGAAGAAATTCCATTTTGAGTTCTATTGTGACCGGAAGAAAGTCTTATTTTGATTCTAACATGTCTTTAACACCTCTCTTGCATGCACTTTCCTAATAAAGAGAGGGGAGACTTTAGCTCTGAGCACTCTCAGGCTTGGGGGAGAATTTACTAACTTTGGTTAATAAGTAGAAGGAATAGTGGTGAGATTTGCTTTCAAGATGCTTTCTGTTTGTTGAGAATGAAAGGTTTTGTTTGTTTGCTTTTTAACTTATGGTGGCACATATTTTCTTCTAAAATGAATTTAATTTTAAATGAGGAAAGTTAGAGAAGGATATTTAGCAATTAATTTTACAGGCGGGGATGTGGCAAAAAGTGAAAAGATGGTCCTCAAAAGACTCAACTTTCAGAATGATTGACTAAATGCAGTCCCTTCATATAGGGGATAGGCCTACTCAGACCCAGAACTAATGACTAGACCCTAGTCCTTCAAAGTCCCTCAACAAGTTAGAGGCTCAAACAGGAAGAGAAACCAGTCCTAGCCTTTTCCACTCCACTTTTTGCATCCCTCACTTTGATGTGGGTGAGTAGCCCTCTCAGGGGTGACTGAATGGCACACCTGTGCTGGCCTGCTTGGTGTGGTCAGGGACTGGCTGAGGGAACCCTTATCTCTGGAGCACCATTTTAGAAGCTCTTGGAAGTCATCTTTCTGCTCCAAATGCTTGTTTTCTTTTATCAGTCATAGGACTGAAAATCCCATTACTAGAGGCTCTCAGTATAGGACTGCTCTCAGCTGTAGAGGAGATGACTTTCAGATTGGGCCTTCTCAGTGTCTGCCAGGACATCCCATTCCCTAAATGTAGGACTCCCCCCCCCCCACATACATTCTCCCTGTTGAGGTTCTATTTTTCTTTTCTTTTAAAAAAATGATTTTGGTTAAATATATATAACAAAACGTTTGCCACAGTAACTATTTTTAAGTGTACAATTCTGTGACATTACGTTCACCATGCTGTGTGACTGTGACCACTATCCCTTTCCTGTTAGCTTGTCATACTGTGGTAGATTTCATGTCACTGTGCTGCTAGTAGCTATATCACTGGTTTTTCAAATACAAACAGAGTCTTCCATGGTGCACGGGTTTCAGCAGAGCTTCTGGAGTAAGAAAAAGGACTAGATAAAGGACATGACATTCTACTTCTCAAAAAACTGGCCAGTGAAAACCTTATAAATAAGAGTGAAACATTGTCTGATATAGTGTCAGAAAACGAGCCCCTCAGTTTTGAAAACACTCCAAATAAGACTGAGGAGGAGCTGCCTCCTCAAAGTAGAGTTGATCTTAATGATATGGATTGAGTAAAGCTTCCAGGACCTTCACTTCAAGATGTGGCACCATTTAAATGAGAAGAAACAGATGAAAATATCAATAAATAATCAGAACATGTAATGTACAAAGTATGAATGAAACTGAAAGTCATCAAAAATAACATGGAATGTTCAAAACAACAATGGGATACCATCTTACCCCAGCACTAATAGCGAAGTTCAACAAGACAGAAAATAACAAATGCTGGTAAGGATGTGGAGAGATTAAGACTCTCATACACAACTACTGTGGAAAGCAGTATGGAAATTCCTTAAGAAGTTGAAATTAGAAATAATATTTGACTCAGCAATTCCATTACTAGCTATATAACCTAAAGAAGTGAGAACCAGGACAAGAACAGACATATGCATACCCCTGTTCATTGCAGCACTATTTACAAAAGGAAAAAGATGGAAACAACACTGCATGATATGAATGAACTTGGAGAACATTATGCTGAGTGAAATAAGTCAATTACAGAAGGACAAATATTATATTAGTTCATTATTGTAAAAAGTCAAGGAAAGGTTTATATACAGAAGGAAATTTTCTTTGTTGGTTATCAGGGGTGGGAGGGGAGGGAAGGGAACACTGCTAGATGGGTAGAGACAAGAATTGATTTGGGTGAAGGGAAGGTCAATGTACCAAATGTGAGTGATCAACACAGTAGCATTGAGGAAGAGTAAGATACAGGTACGTGGGAGGTACAGACAACAGAAAGGAACCCCTTTGCATGTACAGCACTGCATTGTCAGTGATGGTAAGCATTGATCTATTGGTAGATAGATGGGTGGACAGGCTGAATGATCAAGTATGTCTAGGCAGTGGGGGCTGTGCCCATGACTATGTATAGGGTAACCAGATAATGTTTCTACATGCATATTTGTATGTGCTGTAAGAATGTCCAGGTGTATAGTAGAGCTGACAAGGGACAAGGTTGTGGTGGCTTCTTGGCCACAGCCAGCTACCCAAAGGGAGGAAGCAGTTGGAACTGTGGCATCAGGACCATGGTCTCAGGGAAAATCAAGCTCAATTGTCATAACACAATACACAAAAACGTTGTTCTACATCCTACTTCGGTGAGCAGCAACTGGGAACTTAAAAGCTTGCAAGACTTCTAGATGCAACAATGGGTCTCTCCTCGTCCAGAGCAAAGAAGAATGAAGAAAACCAAAGGCAATGGAAACAATCACTCTAAGGGACTGGTAGACTGTGATCCTCAGCCTATTTGACCATGAGACAAAAAAAAATTAGATGGTGTCCAGCTACCACTGTCAACCACTCAGATGGAGATTGGTGCAGGAACTCCTGGATAGAGTGGGAGGACAATGTGGAACAAAACTCAAAATCATAAAAAAAAAAAACAGGTACTAAGGCCCCTAGTTGTCCTTCAGGTCAGGAATTGAACTCACTCCTGTGGCTTCCAGCCAAATAATAGATAGGCATATGAGGGTAAACATTTACATCAGGTAGATACACTCCTTGGAACAATTTATCATGGTAGAACAGAGGGGTGGTCTTTGCACAGGGAGACAATGGGGGGGGTGCATGGGAGGGAAGGACACAGGGGAGAAGTACCTATGGAGAGGAAGTGGGGAGAGAGCTATTACCTTGTGGGGAAATGCAATCGATGTCAGACAAAGAGTGTATGAACTGCTGTATGGAAAATGAATGCTCTGTAAACTTTTACCCAAATCACAATAAAAATTTTTAAAATAGTAATAATATATAGAATGCATAAAGATCAATATCCTAGACATTAGTGAGCTAAAATAGGTTGGTATTGGCCATTTTGAATCAGACTATTTACTATGTACTATGGGAGCTCTGGTAGCATAGTGGCTAAGACACTTTCCTGCTAACCAGACGGCTGGCGGTTCAAACCCACCAGCCACTCCTCGGAAGGAAGGTTGGGCAATCCTACTTCCGTAGTGATACTGCCTCGGAAACCCAAGGAGGGGTCGCTATGAGTCGGGTTTGACTCGACAGCACATAACAACAACAACATGCCAGAAATGAGGAGCTCTGGTGGCATAGTGCCTAAGGCATTTGACTACTAACCAGAAGGCTGGCAGTTCAAACCCCCCAGCCACTCCTCGGAAGGAAGATTGAGCTATCTACTTCTGTAGTGAGCCTCAGGAACCCAAGGAGGGGTCACTATGAGAAGAAGCAGTGGGAAGAAGCCAGGACTGACAGCCTGATCCAGGTAAGGGGACGGAGAGACCCCACCCAAGGCAGGAAGTAGCAGCAGGAAGAAGCCAGGGTCCATGGCTGGAACAGGTAGGGAGAAGGCCAGGAAGTGGGCATATGATCAAGAACAAATGGTATTGAAGGAGAAGTGGAAGCTGCACTGAAGGAAGTGACAAAAAACAAGGCTCCAGGAATTAACGGGATACCCATTGAAATGTTTTAATAAATGGATGCTGTGCTGGAAGCACTCACTTGGCTATGCCAGGAGATTTGGAAACAGCTACCTGGCCAACTGACTGGAAGAGATCCATATTTGTACCCATTCCAAAGAAAGGTGCTCCCACAGAATGTGGAAATTACTGAACAATATCATTAATATCGCATGCAAGTAAAATAAAATAATCCAACAACCTGGACTGTATGAAGAAGAACATGGCATCAGGATTGGAGGAAGGCTCATTAACAACCTGAGATACACTGATAACACAATTTTGCTTGCTGAGAGAGAGGATGACTTGAAACAGTGACTGATGAAGACTGAAGAATACACTCTGCAGTATGGATTACATCTCAATATAAAGAAAAGAAAAATCCTCACAACTGGACCAATAAGTAGCATCACAATGAATGGAGAAAAGATTGAAGTTGTTGAAGACTTCATATTACTTGGTTCTACAATCAACACCAATGGAAGGAGCAGTCAAGATATCAGATGACGTATAGCACCAGGCAAATCTGCTGCAAAAGACCTCTTTCAAGTGCTGAAGAGCAAAGATGTCTCCTTGAGGACTAAAGTGCACCTGACATAAACCATGGTATTTTCAATTGCCTCATATGCATGTGAGAGCTGGACATTGAATAAGGAAGACCAAAGAAGAGTTGATGCTTTTGAGTTGTGGTGTTGGTGAAGAATGCTGGAAGTACCATGGATTGCAAAAAGAACTAACAAATTTGCTCTGGAAGAAGTACAGCTGGAATGCTCCTTGGAAGCCATAATGGCCAGACTTCATCTCACCTACTTTGATCTTGTTGTAAGAAGAGACCATTTCCTGGAGAAGGTTATCATGGTTGGTAAAGTGGAGGGTCCAAGAAAGAGGGGAAGGCCCTCAACAAGATGGATTAACACAGTGCCTACAATGATGGGTTCAGGTATAGCAGGGATCATGGAGCTAGACAGGACCCAGAAGTATTTTGTTCTGCTGTACATAGGGTCACTATGAGTTGGAGACAACTTGATGGCCCCTAACAATAACAACAACATGCCATAAATGACAAATTGAAGAGGAATGGTGTCACATTCATGATCAAAAAGAACATTTCAAGATCTTTCCTGAAGTACAGCACTGTCAGTAAATATCCATACACCTACAAGAAGACCAGATAATATGAGTATTATTCACATTTAAGCCCTAACCACTAGTGCCAAAAATGAAGAAATTGAAGAATTTTACAAGCTTCTGCAGTCTGGAATTGATAAGCATGTAATCAAGATGCATTGAAAATTACTGGTAATTGGAATGTAAAAGTTGGAAAAAAAAGATCAGTATATAGAAAATAGGGCCTTGGTGATAGAAACAATGCTGGAAATTGCATGATTGACAAGGGATATCATTATTGATGTCAGATCAATCTTGTGTGAAAGCAGGGAAGACCAAAAAGAAGTGTATCTGTGTTTTATTGGCTATGCAAAGGCCTTTAACTGTGAGGATCATAACAAATTATGTGTAACATTGCACAGAATGGGAATTCCAGAACACTTAATTGTGCTCCTGTTGAACTTGTATACAGAAAAAGAGGCAACTGATCAAACAGAACAGGGGGAGACTGAGTGACTTAAAATCAGGAATGGTGTGAGTCAGGATTGTATCTTTCACCATACCTGATCAATCTGTATGCTAAGCAAATACTCCAAGATAGTGGACTATATGAAGAATAATGTGGCATAAAGATTGGAGGAAGATTCCTTAACAACCTACAATACGCACATGACACAACCTTGCTTGCTGAAAGTGAAGAGGACTTGACACACTTACTGAAGAAGGTCAAAAACTACTGCCTTCAGTGTGAATTATACCTCAACTTAAAGAAAAGTAAAACCCTCACAACTGGACCAATAATCAATATCATGATAAATAGGAAAAGATCGAGGTTTTCAAGAATTCTGTTTTTCTTGGATCAACAATCAACACCCAAGGAAACAGAAATCAAGAACTTACTGCATTGGGTAAATCTGCTACCAAGACCTATTTAAAGTGTTCAAAAGCAAAGATGTCACATTGAGGACTAAGGTGTGCCTGACCCAAGCCATGGTATTTTCAACTGCCTCATATGCACGCAAAAGTTGAACAGTGAATGAGGAAGACTGAAGGAGAATTGATATCTTTGAATTATGATGTCAGCGAAAAGTATCAAATATGCCATGGACAACCAGAAGAATGAACAAAGCTGTCTTGTAGAAAGTACAGCCAGAATACCCTTGGAAGAGAGGATGGTGAGACTGTCTCCCATACTTTGGACATGTTAACAGGAGGGACTAGTCTCTGGAGAAGGACATCATGCTTGGTAAAATAGTGGGTCAGTGAAAAAGAGGAAAACACTTAACAAAATGGATAGATACAGTGGCCACAACATTGGGCTCAAACATGGCAAAGACTGTGAGGATGGTGCAGAAGCAGGCAGTGTTTCATTCTGTTGTTCATAGAGTCGTTATGAATGGAAAAGACTTGATGGTACCTAACAACAATGATGTTCTCCTTTGATACATTTTTATTCTTTTATTTCAGGGCAAGAAACTTCTATTCTTGATTCTGTTCCACAATCATCTCCTGTCTCAATTTCCCAGGTTGCAGAACTTGACTGTGAGAAATCTCCCCCTTGTAGTCTCATAGGACGATTATTTTGTCCTTTTAATGGAGACATTCTCCTAACTTTCCAGTTTCTGTAAAGAGATTGACAATATAGTGGGTCTCTTGAAGTTTGGGGTAAACCCTTTTTCTTCTTCATTACTGAGGACAGAATCTCTACCTTTGTCCATCAGGTGAGAAGGGTAAGAGCAGATAAAATGCAAGGTTGATATGTCAAACTATATGCAAAGGACAAAGACAATAGTTAAGCAATGTCAAGTGGGATTGGAGCAGGAGCTGTGGATAGGAGTAAGAAGAGAAAGGTAAAAGACAGAGCTTGGGTGGGGAGTGTGAGTTGCAAAGAATATATCAGTAAAATATTTTCAAAATACCCTTTCTTTCATTAACATTTACAGTCAGCACACTGAAAGCTTTCACCAAGTAAGTAAGAATATTTTTTCGGGGAGAGAGAGGAAGGGAGGTCTATTCAGAAGTGTATGACCATATGGCTATGCTACAGAGCCTTCCCTAGAGTCCAGAAACCCACGTGAGGGTCAAACTCACGAGACCTTTGGTCAGTGTGATAGGCCCAAAGTAATTGGCATCCATGATCTTCTTGTCGAGTTCCAGAGAAATCTTTTGGGCAGGTGCCTTCACCTTCATGCTGGCATTGTTGATGAGGATGTCCACACAACCATAGCAGTCCAGGATCTCTTTGGCCACATCCTGGACACAGCTGATGTCTGAGAGGTCCAAGAGGACCAGCTTTGGGGTAAAGGTCTGGTGAATCAATGAGAGAGTCAAGACACTTGTGGAACTACCTTTTTAAACCTTGAGGTCCTCCAATTTAATAGCCATTCCTTCTGAAATTCAGAGCTCTGGGAACAACTCCAAAAAAGTGAAGAAGAAAAAGCAGAAACAACTCTGGTGTTGGGGTGGGAAAAGAGATTCATGGATAATCTATTCTTGGGACAGGACAACTACAATAACAAAAATTCCAATGCAAATATGGAATAATAAGTCTGAAACTTTGTCAAAGGTGTCTGAACTGATAATTCCAAATTCATCAGTTTACCTTTCATAGCCATTCCCTTTGGAGGCTGTGCACTTATCCAGAGGTGACATCATTACTTATAACATTTCTGAGCTTGTTTTTGGAAGTTGCCTTCCAAACTGGCCTACAAGCCATAAACAAATCCATCACCGTGTCAAAGAGAGAAACTTCTAGCGAATATCTTGCTTTGATTTTGGGGTTTTCTTATCCAGGAAATCAAAGATACACTTAAAAAAAATTTCCAACCAAAATCAATTTATCAGCAGATTTTCTCTCACCAAACCAAAACCAAACCCACTGCCATTGAGTCACTTCTGACTCATAGTGACCCCCCATAGGGTTTCCAAGGTTGTTAATCTTTACAGAACTGGATTGACTCTTCATTCAATCATGTTGAGATCACCCAATGGTTGAGCTTCTATATTTCTCCTTTCTCTTATCTTTATGTCTAAGGCATTTGACTGCTAACCCACCAGACACTCCATGGAAGGAAGATGGGGCTATCTACTTCTGTAATGATTTACCACCTCAGAAACCCAAAGAAGGTCACTATGAGTTGGAATTGACTCAGTGAGAGTGGGTTTGGTTTTTGGTTCTTCTCTTTATAAGCTCCGTTATATTTGGCTTCTTCAAACTATTTGCTTTTTCTAGTATCAAAATGATCTCCCTATATGCATATAGTATAACTGCTCAGAATAAATCTTACATTCAAATTTTGGTGCATTTTTATTATTTTTAACAACAGTAATTTGTAGCCACATTTTGTTTTTGACCAAAATCACACTTAGCAAAATATTTTTTGTGTGCCTGCTACATGCCAGGTAACATGTTTAACCCCAGATACTTGCTTCCATAAAGATTCTCATGGTCTGAGGGTGAAACAGATTCAAGAATTGAGAATACTTGTGATATATACACCCTAGTGTCTGACACACAGCCTTAAAAGAGGATTCACTGATGAAATTGGTTTGGGACACACATACTATTGCATATTCTTCTTAGATATACACAATGCACATTAGCATATAAAAGGCTCTGAAAAATCCTACAGTAAAGAAAAATGAGAAACAAGGTTTAACTCAGTATCTCCTACTCAATTGACTGCAGAACCTCATTTTTTCTCAATAACTAATAACCCAAGAAGTACATTTTGGAGTCAGCAGTGTTGTCCTATTTGATCTAATACATTCAAATATCAGACTTGGCCCTTAATGACTTTTGATTGCTTCCAAGAACCAAATTCAACTTCAAGGACAAAGTTTTGCTTGTTTGTTTTTCTTTAATCCTGGAGACAGCCCTGAAGGCAATCCCAAACAATTATTCAGAAATGCCCTGAAAACTGAAACCATATTGAAATAAATGTTCACCTCTTGGGTGGCACTTTGGAAGGAGACACAATACTTCTTTGCAAGAGATATCATCTGTGGTATTATTTTTTAAAAAACAAACAGACAGACAGAATATCCTCCATAAATTTTGATAATAACCTATACTTATGGCATTTCTTTAGAAGTTTCTGGGTGGCATAAAAAGTTAAACTCTCAGCTACTGACCAAAAAGCTTGTGGTTCAAATCCACCCAGAGGCACTTTGGAAGAATGGCCTGGTCATCTACTTCTGAAAATTAGCCATTGTAAACCCTGTGGAGCAAGTTCTACTCTGGCACACATGGGTTTCCATGAATTGGAATTGACTGGGTGGCACCTAGTTTATTTGTTTTATGGTATTCATTATCTTCTGGATCTTCTTTGATTCTGACTGAAATAGAATTGGGGGAGCAGGAGAGGCATTGAGACAAGAAGTACAGCAATGTAAACTTTCCAGCTAGAAACAGCCTAAGTGCCCTTCCCCTTAATAACATTGTTTGACTTCTCTAGCTACCGCCTCTTCCTCTTAAGAAATAATTAGCTAAGAGATATGGAAGTATGGCTAGCCTTGCTGACCATAAGCAGTAGTTTCATGTTTTGTAATGTGGATGATGCTAACTTCTGGTTTTTGAGTCCTTACTAGGAAACACTGAGCCATAGAGAGGGAACAAGTGGCTGGAGTCTGCAGTCTAGCTGAAACCAGTCCTGACTGTAACAGCATGCAACGAAGAAGGCAGTTTGATACTCTGGGAGATTTATCACCCTGCTGCTGTTGTTAGGTGCTGTGCAGTTGTCTCTGCCTCACAGACCTTATGTACAACAGAACAAAGCACTGCCTAATCCTGTGCTGACCTCACGATCCCTGCTATACCTGAGCCCCTTGTTGCCCTAGGGGAAGGAAATTCCCTCCACGTTGTTCCTTTCCCTGGCCAAGTTCCAGACTTTCAGCTTAAACCAAGCATGTGCAAAGGAATCAGTCATGGACAGGGATAAGGACATCAATCAGCACATTGTTCCTCCCTAGAAAATCTCCTCAAAACCCTTACCCATAAAAACCACAGGAGCCTTTGTTAGCAGCTACCTTAGCGACCCAGGTCTAGATGAACTCCTTTATTTGGCCAACTAAATAAAGCTGCTTCTTTCACTTTCACCTATTCTGTGTCTTTATTGTCGCACTGATCGAGACACAGATGTCTCCGGTTCTGGAATGGTGAGCAGTCAACATGACTCGACCTCTTTGTGACTGGCAGATATGCCTGTGTCATTAACAGTGGGACCATTGCCTCACATTACCCCAAACACTCATCCAATTACACCCTGCTGAAGGAATGCATTTGGCCAAAGGGCTGTCCCTTAACAGTGAATGCCAAGGTTGCCAAGGGTTAACCAAATCACTGCTGGAAGGCCTTACCTTGCTGGGGTCAGCTACGCTGATCAAGGCATCATAAAGGCTCTCTAATCTTTCCCAGTTCTTGGCACACAGCACCAGCCTTGCCCCACCAGTGTGGAACACTCGTGCACACTCTGTGGAGAAGAAGGAAAGCAGTCAGGAGCACTTTATAGATAAAGCCACTAGTGGTGGGACCCCCTCTCTTACAAATTCAAGAATCTTAGCAGTCATTTCATTCAACACCCTCCCTAGGCTGGACTTTTTTTTTTTCTAGCTTCCAACCTCAGCTTGGTTGCTTCCCATGATGGGAAGTTCACAGCTGGTTGAAACAGTCCCTTCCATAGCTGGAAAGTTCTGATTATGAGAACATTCTCTGTTATACCAGACAGAAAAATGATCTTGTCCAACTAGCTCTCCAGGACCACTATTGCAAATATATCTAAATCTAAACACATTGGAGCTCTGGTAGCATAGTGGCTAAAGCACTTGACTGCTAACCAGAAGGCTGGTGGTTCAAACCCACCAGCCACTCCTCGGAAGGAAGGTTGGGCAGTCTACTTCCATAATGATACTGCCTCGGAAACCCAAGGAGGGGT